GGGAGCCCCCCGCTCCCGGCCGAAAAAGACTTGGCAACCCTATAGAAGCGTGATATTAAGTGCAGTAAATAAATCTCCCCAAGAGGTATATCCCCCCTCCCAAAAAAAGGTAAACTTACATTTATTCAAGTAGATCCAGTTCACATTAAGGTTGTAGTCAAAAGAAAAGAAAGAAGCCAAATCTACAGAGTACTTTCCCTGTCGCAAATGGCCGGCTTGTCTGACATCATGTATGCGGGAATACGAGGGCATTTTCTCTCCAGGAGAGACCTATAGAGACTTCCATGTCTCCATGGAAGGCCATGCAGAGAGAGAGGAGAGGAGAAAGCGGGGGAGAGAGGAGGAGGAGGGGTCAGAGGGCATCTCCCAGGTTAAGGCAAAGAGAGGCATCCCATTCAAGGAGATAACACCTTATAAACACTTAGAGTGATGTAGCGCCCCCCAGTGTCCAGGCATGCTGAATCACTCACTCCAACACTTTCCCCTTCCATAACCTGTAGCTTCCTTCCGTAGTGCCAACCGATGCTCCCTCAAAGCTTTGGAGTCTTGTGAGCAAAAATTCTACTTTGTGAGCGACTGGCATTAAAGTTGTGAGCGAGCAATTTGGCTACTGCATAAAGTAGTTTGCTCTGGAGCCCTCCTTCCTGAGCTAAGACAAAAATGTGTGAGCTGGAGGCTAGAAAACTGTGAGTTAGCTCACACTAACTCAGCTTAGAGGGAACACTGGTGCCAACTAGTAACCCCAAAGCTGAGACAGCTAATACCACATCCGACTTTTTGAGGTGAGAGAGGATCACATGAGATGGTGCCGCCCAAATGAAGGTTTACCACTCCAGTGAAAAGTATGCAGTAGAGGAGAAGGAGAAGAGTAGGTTTTTATACTCCACTTTCCTCTACCTTAAGGAGTCGCAAAACGGCTTACCATTGCCTACCCTTTCTCTCCCCACAGCAGGCACCTTGTGAGGGAAGTAGGGCTGAGAGAGTTTCGAGAGAACTGTAGCTGGCCCCTGGTCACCCAGCGGGCTTCGTGTGGAGGAGAAGTGGGGAATCAAACACAGAATCCCAGTGCCAGGAGGAGGAGGAAGAGGAGAAGAATAGGAAGATCGGATTTATACCCCACCCGTCACTACCCAAAGAAGTCTCAAAGCGGTTTACAATCCCTGGGGCTGGAACTGGGCTGAGTGCAGCTTGATCTTACAGCCAACCCACACTTGTGGGAGAAAGTCATGGACTGGATGCCATTTGAAGCTGTGACTCTGGAAGAGATGGGTCTTTGAAGGGACGATTGCCGCTAGAAGATAGTCCCCTCATTTGTAATAATTATTAGGGTAGTAGGTGTATGTAGCTTCCCAGTTTGGTGTAGTGGTTAGGAGTGCGGACTTTAATCTGGGAGAACCGGGTTTGATTCCCCACTCCTCCACATGCAGCTGCTGGTGTGACCTTGGGTCAGTCACAAGTTCTTTCAGAGCTGTTCTCTCAAGGGCAGTTCTCGAAAGAGTTCTCTCAGCCCCACCCACCTCACATCCCAGGGTGTCTGTTGTGGGGAGGGGAAGGCAAAGGAGATTGTAAGCCGCTCTGAGACTCCTTTGGGTAATGAAGGGCGGGGTATAAATCCAATCTCTTCTCTTCTTTATGTTCCACAAGTCAAGTGAGGCAGAAACAACAATAAGAGCAGCACCAGCAGCACCATCAGCACCATCATCCTGGCTATAAGTACCTACCCACCTTCGCAACTAGTTACAACACAATTTACTAACTACATTTATCTCTCATTTTCTTTCCTTGGTTTTCAATATCCTGCAAGCTGAGAGAGCTCTGGTGGTTTCACAACTGGGCAATGACTGGACTCAGATTGACCTACTTAGCTTCAGCAAGGTTGCTGTAGTTGGGGGCATCTACTTTGGCTAACTTTACCACAAACCTGATTTTGGATTCTGGGCAGGAAGAAATGCTATCAGGCATCATGTGAACAGAGCCTCCTGTCTAATCTAATTACAGTATCCCCCCCTCCAGCAAACTACAGAAGAAATAATTACATCTCCAAACTCTCTTTGCGGCCCCAGGTGCAGCTGGGAAATACATATTTGCACAAAGTTCACAGTCTGATGTCACACTTTGCTCAGATTCCTAGAGAGGAAACTTAATCTAGAAGAAGCAGGAACATGGATTACTGTTCAATGAGCAGTGGCTACATTACCTGGGTACTACTTTGAAAGAGGGCTTTCCCTCAGAATAATGCATTATGTGACCCAGGTTCAGACGTATAGTTTTGAAAAAAGTGTGCATTACCTTGGGCCAGTGATTTCTCCAAAGTGACATGCTACAACTAGCCTTTCTGGGCCTCATTTCCAGGGTGACTTTCGACAGACTCACTTCAGCCTTCAACTTGATTCAGCCTGGTGAACTATGCCTGTGTAACCCATGCAGTTTTGTAGCTGTTAACAGCATACAAGGATCAGGCACGCCTGCTTTTGCCAATAGGTGGTGTGGCAATCAACTCCCTTTATGAGCATGCTCAGTGTTTGTAGCCTTCCCTAAAGGAGGCTGGGTATTCCCAGCAGCCAGCAGTTCAGCCTGGCCCAGAAAGAGGCAACATCTTGGGGAGAGGCCTATATAGACTTTGCTGTGTTAAGGCCTGCCTTGAATTATTGCAGGTAAATCCTGGAGTCAACTGAGAAGAGCTGCAGCATCCCAAGTACAGCCTGGAAACCTCATATGCTGTTCCAGTATCTGTGAGCTTACAACATATGGACTTACAATATATGTATTATTTATGTGCTTAGTAATTTTTCTGTTCTGTGCATCTTTGTGGATGCTGAAGATATCTGTACTTAGTAATATCCTGAAGATTAATTGCTATGAAGTAATAGCAACTAACCAAAAGTGAATGAGGAATTATATGAAAACCTCCATGCTTTGTTTATATAAAGAGTTTATTTTAAACGTTAAAGTGCATTGGTTGTATTGCCTCTTTTATGCCTGTCTTTAAGTACATGTGTAGTAACAGCAGTTACATATTGTTAATAACCATAGGTGGGAGTTCCGCTGTCAAAACCGACTGAACCTGCCCACTATCCCTATAGATATTAGGACCTTAGTGGGTTACACCTGCATTTCTGAAGAACAGATATCTGTATAAAGTGTCGAGTCCAGATACCCTTTTGTGAGAACTGAACTTGTTGCCTGACATTGATTTTCCAGTTCAGAAGCCACAAGAAAGTTTGCTCTTGCATAGACTTAACCATGCTTGCTCCTTATTTCACCATTTTTTTGTTTAATTTTTAATCAAATCTTTAAATGATGCATTGATTTGATCCCTCTTTTTTCTGTTAGGAGAATAATCAGAGCCACAGATTCTTCCTCTTTTTGGCTGGATAAAAGACGGTTCAGCTCTTGCAACTAGGCAACTACCAATGCATATTGGCCCTAAATTGATTTGAATCGATTCAGTTTTTACACAAGAGAGTCAATGCCTTAAAAATAAAACTGGCAGAAAGTTATGGAGCATATAAACACCAAGACAGGGGAGGGGGGGAATCAGGTGATATTCATTACCCCTTAGACTAAGTTTGCAGAATCTTGGAAATCTGATCTGATGACAGGTCACAGAAAAGAAAAATGATTCCACAGAAAACTATTAATCACAGAAAACTCAGTAGCTGCAGCTTTCCAGAAAAACTGTAAGAGGTATACTGAAGCTGAGTAAACATTAGTGTAAATCAATACCGTTTATAATAATAATAATCTTTCCATTTATTGATCGCTCAATCCATGCAGAGCTGCCGGCTCTGAGCAATTTACAGTTACTCATGAATTTCACATGGGACTAACAATGCTGGGGGTAAGGGAGGACAACATATATCATTTAAATCACACACATTTCGCAGTCGATGGAGTTGGTCAGCTGTAAGGTCCAGACGTGTTCCGGCAGCATTCCTTTTTTTTCGGCGTCACTTGATGTCGTCAGCATTGTCTCAGTCGCAGTGCACCACTGCAACCGTCTGGCCGAATGGCCTATTGCAGGCTTTTCTTCGACGCTGCGTAGATCTTTCTTGGCTTTCGGATCTTACGCGCAGACCATCCAATCGGCTAACACAACCCCCACCGGGGGGGGGTTAGTGTGCTCACTCTCTCTAAGGAGTGGTACCCATTTTATCTACTCGCCGAAGCTTTCGAACCGCTAGGTTCCCTTAAGGGAGTAATGATTCCCCCCCCCCAAAAAAAAGGATATTATAGACCTAACATATATAGAAGATGATAGCTTAAATTTGCAATTGGTCTTCAAAGGGGAGAGCAGAAATTTAATCTTCAACATGACACCTTTTCTGTTACAGTTTGAGTCACGTTTTTCCCACTGGAAAATTATATCACTCTTCATTTTGTAAGCCATCAATCACTCTCACTGCCATAATGAATGATCCTGTCACATGTGAGGCTTCTAGAAAGTATAGAGGAAAAACATGTATCTTAGTTTTGTTTCCCAGGTGGTGCTACATACCTTTGCTTTGAGTGAGGAAAAAGAATGAGGGTGGAGGGACACAAAGGATGGAACTGAGCCTCATCAAGGGCAACTCCCATATAGCACACCTTGGCCACACACTGGCAAGGTGAGTGATTTTAACTGGTTTCCCACGTGCTGAGACTCAATGGCCATTCCCCTGTGTGATTTTTTTTGAATATATTTTTATTTTAGAAAGGAAGATACTAAAAGTAATATAAAATAAAATAAGGGATTATATAACAAGGAATTCTATAACAAGCGATAGATGTCAAAGATTATTATACATTGCAAAGCATAGCAAATAAGAAATAAAAATTATTTCTCCCCAACATACCCTTCATCACAGTTTTTGGGACATTTTCTGTATAATAATCCTTACTTCAGACATCCCCTGTGTGACTCTTGTGATGCAAGGTAAGGCTACTGCCCTGACTGAAGCTCTTCCCACACTCCATACATTTATACAGTTTCTTACCTGTGTGAACCTTTTGATGTGCAGCTAGGTTGATATTCTGAGAGCAGTTCCACATTCCCAGCATTTATGTGGCTTCTCCCCTGTGTGAACCTTTTGATGTACAGCTAGATTGGTATTCTGAGACAAGCTGTTCCCACACTCCCAGCATTTATATGGCTTCTCCCCTGTGTGAATCTTCTGATGTGCAGCTAGGTGGGTATTCTGAGAGAAGCTCTTTCCACACTCCAAGCATTTATATGGCTCTTCCCCATGTGAACTTTGTAATGTGCCACTAGGTGGGTATTCTGAGAGAAGCTCTTTCCACACTCCAAGCCTTTATATGGCTTCTCCCCTGTGTGAACTTTGTGATGTGCAGCTAGGTGGGTATTTTGACAGAAACTCTTTCCACACCAATCAAGCCAATCACAGTGGAAATTGCAATAGCTGTTTCAAGCTTCTGATAGGCATAATATATTGAAAGTCTCCAAGAGAAACAACCCGATAAAACTGTACAGAACTGGATTTCTTTTGGTCAAATTCTCTTAAAATAAGAGTCCTCTTAAATATAAAAATAACTGTAATTGACAATAATGATATCTCATCTACTATCTTGTATATTCCATACCAGAAATACATGGCAATTGTATTAGCACAGAAGGTTTTGCTGTAAACATTCCTGTCTGCAGAGCTGTGATGTGTTACTCTAAAGCTTGCATTCACCTCCGTAAACATAAAACTGGCCCAGTTAAGGTCTATTTTTGTATTTTCCTAACAAACCCAAGGCGTATTCACTCCCGGCCGTGATCTTTGGGAGTGGCAGATGAGGGAGGCAGAGCACAGAATGCCCGGCACAAACCTGCTGCCTCAGAAACATTTACAGATATTTGGGCACTGTGCACTGTGCAATGACTGCAGTTTGAACTAGAAGTCAGCTACTGCATCATCCCAACCTCAAGGTGATTGTGCCACTGTCAATATCAAAAAGAAGGGGACTGAAACAATTTGGCCTAGGTTAACTCCAGAATGTCCTTCTGATAGCTTGCAATGGAAGGCTGACTCCCTAGAAGCCAGGAAGGTGGTAGGTGCAAGCTGCACAGGCAGGGAGGAGCAAAATATGACCAGATACCATTTTTGCAGGGGGGGTGTCACGCCCTGATTCTTCTCGAGGGGTCCACCCCTCGCTGGCCGTTTCCGGGATCACACCTCCACTAGCCAGGAGTATGGCTCACAAGCCAGATCCATCCCCGGGGAGGGGGGAGGTTGAGGAGAGTTCTCCGGGTGAAGAGGGAGGAGCAGCCTCAGATGATGGAGTATTCAGAGTGTGTCCTCCGCCACTCTTGCCTGTCCTGGGTATCTGGCCTTTGCACCAACTCTTCGGTGATTCTGGGGTCCCTCTCTCTCTCTGAGCAGCCTTCTCCACCCCAGCCAGCCCAGTCCTCCTCCTCGGCGGCCTCCCGACTTCTCCTTTTATTACCCCCTCAATCCCCATGACTCCCCCTGCATCCAGGTCCCTCCCCCCCTTCAAAGGGAACCACGCTGAGGCTACTTCCGCTTGCCCCGCCCTGGTGTTGCGGGGCTCGGCCATGAGTGCGCTCTCCGCGATCTCCCTGTTGCTCCTCCGTGCCGCCCGGCCCTGGCTCTGTCGGCCTCGGCCCCTCCAGGCCCGCCTCCGCCCCGCTGCGGGGGCGATACCGCACACTGGGCCTGGCACGCAAGGGTCGATTCCTCCCCTTGCTGCCGTCTCCATTTCTCCGGCTCCCGTCGCCCTCGGGACCCTCCTCTGGTTGCTCTGTCTCAGTTGTTGTGAGTTGTGGGCAAGTGGGGAGGGGCTGTGGCGCATCCGTTCGAGGCTCCCTGCTGTTTCTTGGCACCAAGTCCCGGCCCGAGTTGGGACAGGGGGCTTAATGCACAAGTCCGGGCCCGAGTTGGGACAGGGGGCTTAATGCATGGAGTGTATATTGCACTATGGGGGACAAGTAGGAACAGAACATAAACCCTGTTGGATCACAACGTTTAGCCATTCTGAATAAAATCAGCCTGGCTGATTACATGGCACACATTCAAGTGTGTGGGAACACAATCGCTCCTCACCCCATCATGCAGGGATCTTGTCCAGGAAGCCACTCTCTTGGTCCTCCCTCCAGCTAGCTCTTTCCTGCCTCTCCCGCTCTTTGACTCTCCTTCTTTCATTCCATTCACCTGTCTTTTCTCTGCCTTCCACTATTCCTGCCCTACATCAGCTTATGAAATCAAAAACTCACCTTTGCCTCAGGCAAGTGAAAGCCAAATTCTCCCTCCAGCTGGGCAAAATGAGGAAGAGAGTCCCTGTTGAATTCCAAGTTCCCCCAATTTCCTTCTCTCTCTCTCCAGCAAAAACTACCGAGTCAACAGCTAGAAAAGACAGGGTGGACCACTCTGGTGCTCCCATGTCCTTCTGGGAATTGTAGTTCCCTGCAAGAATGAGAACCAAATGGAATAATAAAGCCAAAGTTTTTGAGAAGGCTTCTTTGTTCTTCTGTCGCTATGTTGGCAAGGTTCATACAATGGCCCACAGCACGTGAGATCTGCTGAAGAGATTTTGGACTTTCGTCACCTCTATTTTCTCACTTGAAAAGGGGAAACAAAACTTTCAGACAGCTTCTGAAATCAAAGAAGATCAAAGGAAGATGTCGCCCCCTCACTTCTCTTCCAAATTAATGATAAAAGGGAAAAGATCCTTACCAAGGGAGGCCACGGTGTCATAGGTTTCCTGAACAGCTTCCCAGAAAGGTTTCTTTAGCCTGGCTCCAGCAGAGTCCATTCATCCTCTGTGAAGGACATGGCTCCCTTCTCAAAGGACACTGGGGATCTCTGAAAGAGGAAATGATGGCCCAGTTGACCATCTATTTCAGCCCTGAGCATTCAAGGAAGAGGGAAGAATCCTGTAGGCCATCCACTTCATTAGAAGAACGCAAGGCATCGTACCAGTAGCAAGAAAAACCGCAGTAGTTTTCTTCAGCTTCTGACAAGTATAATACACTGAAAGACTCCAAGCAATACAAACTCAGAAAATTGCACAGAACTGGGCTTATTTTGGTGACATTCACTTAAAATTCGAGTCCAATTCAAGGTAAACAAACAGTAGAAAAAACCCTTATTGACTGTACAAATATCTACTATACTCAAATCCCTTCAGGAAGCTTGAATTTTGTTTTACATTGTTTTTCAAAACAGATATTATAGAGTCTTACACATTTAACCTCCTCATCCATTCATATACCTTGTCCCATTTTTTACTAAATACTTTTTCATTTTTATTTTGCAACCTCAGGGTCAAATTGTCCATTTGTGCTAGATCTAGCACTTTCACCATTAATTCTTCCCTTAACGGTACCTTATCTGATTTCCACTTTTGGGCCAGTAATATACGTGCGGCAGTTATTATATATACTACTATATGTCTCTCTTGCTGTCTAAACTCCTTAGGCAACATATTTAATAAATATACTTCAGGTTCTAACACTAAATTCTTCTCCATTATTTCCTGAATTAGTGTTCTCACCATTTTCCAAATCCTTGTACTTTATTACAGGTCCACCACATATGAAAAAAGGACCCTGAGTTGGTCTTACACTTTCAACATTGCGATGAGTAACCTGGATAACATTTGGCAATTCTTTCTGGCGTCCAATGCCAGCGATGGAACATTTTAATTACATTTTCTTTATAAACTGTGGCCCTCATATATTTGATTGATTCCCACATCTTAGTCCACCTATCTAAGTCTAACTTCTTCCCTATATCTTTCTCCCAATTAATCATTACTCTTTTAATTTCATCATTTTTCACAAGATCTTCCAGTAAAAAATTATACATTTTCTGTATCATTTTGTCACTTGACGATAACCACACCCTGTCTAGCTCATTAGTTTTGTCATCAAAGCCTCTAACTTTATCCTTATTAAATCTGTCTTGTACCATTATTCTCTCCCACCAGGAGAGTATATTATCTCTAAGCAATTTTTCTTCTATTATTAATTTATTTTCTCTGTTTAGTAACATCTGGTATGTTAACTTCTTATTGTTTGTCATTAATTCTGGTTTAATGTATGCTTCCAGGGGAGAAAACCACCTTGGTATTTTCCTATACAATTTTTCTTTAATTTTGGTCCATACCTTGTTTAGAGCATCTCTTAACCAATGTCTCCTAAAATTTGTGTGAATTTTATCCTTATTGTACCAAGCGTATGCGTGGCACCCCATACTGAGGTCATGACCCTCTAGTAGCAATAGTCTACTATTTTCCAGGGTGACCCAATCTTTAATCCATACTGGGCTGCTTACTCTGTTGGGACCATCTTAATATTACAGCTGGGGAACTGCTTGGATGTTCCCTGTTGTTAGGGCTATTACTAGGGCAGCCGCTTGGTAATACAGATGCCAATTAGGGACGTTTAATCCTCCTCTCTCCTTTTTATCTTGCATTAATCTCAATTTTATTCTTGCCTTTTTATGCTGCCAGATAAATTGCTTTGTGACTTTATCTAATCTTTCGATAAAATTCATCTTTTTTAATATTGGGATACTAAGAGATCGGAGTTCGGAAACTCTACCCGTTTGTCTGGTTCGGGTACGTCGGCCACCTCAGTATTGGGCTCAGGGTCCAACTTCAGTTTCAGCTTCAGGTCAGCCAGGGACACAGCCCTGATTTCAGCTGGAGCGACCAGGGACCAAGCAATGTCAAATACAAGTCTCCCACAGGAACTGAGGAGCGTTGCCTTCTACTGGTCCTCATCATCGATCTGGTTTGCCTGGCTTTAATAGTGTCATGTAATTGTCTTCTTCCAACAAGCTGCTTTTATTTGTGAGATTTACCCCTAAATATTTTACTTTCTTGACCATTTCCATGTTCGTTATCGTTTGTATTTCTTGCACAGTTTTGGGTAAGCAGTTTTTAGTTAAAATTTTTGATTACTTATAATTTATTTTAAGACCTGCCACTTGCCCATACTTTAAAATAGTGTCCATTAGATGTACTACTGATATTTTTGGGTTCTCCATGATAAAGACAAGGTCATCCGCATATGCAAGTAGCTTGTAAGTTTCCTCTTTAATTTTTAGACCTTCCACTAAATTATTACTTCTTATCCTATCATTTAGTGATTCTAATGCAAATATGAACAGTAATGGTGACAATGGACACCCCTGTCTTGATCCTTTTTGAATTTCTACATTACTGGTTACATCCCCATTAATTATTACTTTGGCATATTGACGTGTATAGAGGGATTTGACCATTAAATAAAAATACTGTCCACAATCTGCCCTTTTTAGTTTTTGCATTAAGAAATCCCATGACAAGTTATCGAAGGCCTTTTCAGCATCTAAAAACATTAGCAACATTTCTTTTTCAGGATGTTCTTCATAATATTCTAATACGTCTATAATTATACGTATGTTGTTCTTCATTTGCCTTTTGGGGAGGAAGCCCATTTGATCTTGGTGTATCATTTTCGAGTGAACTAATTTCAGCCTATTAGCCAGGATTCCCGCAAATATCTTATAATCGACATTTAATAACGAGATTGGTCTATAATTTTTAATATCGCTTACATCAGCGTTAGATTTGGGGATTAACGTAATTAAGTCATGATTCCAGGATTCTGGAATTTTCCCTGTTAGCCCTATCTTCTGAAGGGTTTCTTTGAAGATTAGACCTATCTCTTCCTCAAAAACCTTATAGAATTCTCCTGGAATCCCATCCGGCCCCGCCGCTTTATTTTTCTTTTGTCTTTTAATTGATTCTGACAATTCAAACATAGTTATTGGCTCATTCAGAACTTTCCTCTGTTGTTCATTGAATATATTCTCATCCCCTTTTAAGTAATTCTGGATTACTTCCTCCTCCTGTCTTTCACATTGATATAGCTTTCTATAAAAGTTTTCCACTATTCCTTTCAGGTCTTGGATATTATACTTCTCTTCATTTTGATCGTTACGCAATTTAACTATGGTACGTTTAGCTTTTTCTTTTCGTACTTTATATGCCAACCATCTGTTAGGTTTGTTTAAGTTCTCGAAGTAATACTGTTTTGTGTATTCAATTCTTTGTTGTATTTCATTGTTTAGCATTAAATTCATTTTATGATGAAGAAAATTTAACTTCATTTTGACACTACTCTCGTTTGTAGATATTTTAAGGTTGTTTTCCTTCTTCCTAATTTCTTTTATTAGCTTATCATATTCCTTCCTCCTGTTTATTTTTCCAAGCATCTTGACTGATGAAACACCCTTTTATATAGGCCTTAAATGCGTCCCATATAATTTCCCTTGGGGTGTCTATTTCCTTATTTACTTAAAAAAAAAAACTCCCTTATTTCTTTTTTACATTTCCCAACAAATTTTTTATCTCTAAGTAATTTTATATTTATTGTACTTCTACCTTTCTTATAGCCTTCCTTTAATGTTAAGAGCACTGGATTATGATCTGCGAAGGAGTTTGGTAGTATTTCACATTCAAGCGTTTCTCTTATTGTTTCAATGGGTACCCATATCATGTCGATCCTGGACCACGTATTATGTCTGCTCGAGTAGTATGTATAATCCCTCTTTGGGCCATTCCTTGTTCTCCACGCGTCTACTAAATTGTGTTCTTCAACTATTCGCATAAAATGTTTTGATAGTATACCAGTTAGCTTTGACCCTTTCCTAACTTTCTTTCTGTCCAGCATAGGGCCCAGCACCGCATTAAAATCTCCTATCAAAAAAATATTGTCTGCTGCTGTTTTGTTTATTTCTACTTTTAGATTCTGAAAGAATCCCGTTTGATTCCGATTAGGTGCGTAAATATTTATTATGAGAGTCTTTTTCCCATTCCTTTTAATCGTGATAGCCACCACTCTGCCATCCTCTGACCCAAATACCCATTCTGGTTCCAGGAAATCTTTTGCATATATGACTACCCCTCTTTTCTTTTCATCACTAGAAGAAATAAAAGCTTTCTCTAATTTTTTACATTCTAGGTATTCAATGCTTGATTTTTTAATATGTGTTTCTTGCAAGCAAATTATATCTGTTTTAATTTTTTGTAGCTGCAGGAATGTTCTCCTTCTCTTCTGAGCACTATTTAAACCGTTTATGTTTATAGATATGATATTTAATTTTTTACCTGACATCATTTTAATTCCTTAGTGTTTATTCCCTCTGCTTTTATGTTTGAGTCTAGTTTGTATTTGGTAGACAGGTTTACTGGCCTTTAATTTGTTTCTTTTAACTTTGGCTCCTCTCTTTTTACGTGACTCTTGTTGTCTTAATCCCTCTTCCACTTCTCCCTCTTCCTCTTCTTCTTCCACTTCTTCTTTTTCTTCCTCTTCCTCATCCTCCTCTTCCTCAGTCTCATCTCTTTGCAGTCCCAGCTCGGACCCAAAATTTTCTATAAAATTTTCTGCTTTAAACACCGAGTCAATCCTGTA